GCTCATGAATCATGCTAGATCATGTAATGTAATCAAATTACACAAAGAAGAACAAAAGTAGATTAAGAATCTAACTTCAAAACACAAATCAAATGCTTCAAGGTATGAAAATCAAGATTAGAAAGTCAAGCTTCCTCCAAGAACTTGCTTTTCTTCTTCCTAGAGCTTCTTCACTTCTTGGACAAAGATATGGCAAATGATATGTATTTCTCAACTACTAACTGACTAATACCCACTATTGGGACATGTGGCATAATCTAGTCCAATCTCTTAAAAAAGATGCCTAAATAAAAGGACAAGAGTAGGTCGAAATGTATACAACAAGTAAGGTGACATTGGTATTCTGACAAGGAAAGGATCTCGGATAAAACATAGGCTTCAGACACGTAAGGTCTTCTTGACCTTAGCTAGAAGGGATCACTTGGCCTAAGTGTGAGACACCTCGGCCTAGGTTGTACCAAACATGAAACGAGGGTTGTTAGGTGTTGGCTCAGATGCACAACTCGGCAAGAAGGTTCAAGAATCAAAGATCTCAAATGCCTAGTTGATGTACACCTCGGCCTAGGTGATGTACACCTCAGCCAAGGTGTGAGGGCGTAGGTGGAGGTCAACCAAGATGGTTCCAAGATGGCCCTAGGGGTTATCACTTAACGGCCTAGGTATAAGAGATTCAAAGGCGTGACCTAGGTGTGAGATAGCAAAAGTAGATAGCCTAGGTTCAGTATACAAGCATGTAACAAAACAAAGATCTTATACTTAGGCAAAATATCAAAGTTTACAAAATGTAAGCTTAACAAACCAAAATCATGTAAATTCTCATGAATATGACTAAGGCAAAATGAGGGTTGTTATAAATTTCTATCCCAAACACTTAAGCCCAGTGGCTGTAATCACATAAAACATCCCAACATAAGCTTCTGAGCTCCATCAAGATCTTCATAAATTCCTAACTGAATGGAGGCACATCATCACAACTTGAAATGTTTGCTATGATAGGAATAAGCTAATGCTCAGTAGAGAATACATTTAACAAGGTATATAAACATTCAATATAATTATGTATTACCAAAATCTATTACTCCAAGAATTTTTTTTTTCTTTCTCAAGACAAAACCACATGAGTATATATATACATATATAGATTTATATGTATAAGAATATAAAACCTTTCTACATTTATTAACCAATTCCCCATTTATTGTCCAATTTCACATTTTTCGGTCATTACGCAGATGGCCAGTGGGCACCTCAACTTTTCCATATTTGTCGTATTCATAAGACTGGGCAAATGGGCACCCTAATTTTCCCACGAGGGTACCAAACATATCACACAACATATCTATTTAGCAAACCTACAAAATATCTCAACATATCCACACAACATCAATTTATTTCCAATTATCTCTTAAACACCAAAATCCATACCTAGGGTTTTGTAAAATTTAGAGTTCTTCCCCATATTTTCCATCAATCTAAAAATCATGAAATCAAAGTTGGTTTTATTCAAAAATATTCAAACATTACAAAAATTATTGAGGCAAAACCTCTCTTTTTCATAAATACTTATTAAATCAAATCATCTATCTCATACCATATATATTATGAAAACTACCACATAATCAAATCAAAATATAGATATATAAGGTTAAAAGTATTCCTACCTCAAAGGTGATGATGAAAAGATGAAAACCCAACTTGAAGCTCCAACAAAATCTTGAATCAATCAGTAGAAATCTTGATCAAGGCTTGTTTTTCAACTCTCCTGAAAGATCTAAGATGGATTCTTAGTGGAAATGAGGGGAATCAAGTGTTTTTGAGGCTAGGGTTTCAAAAATGGGTGTTAGAGAGAGAGATGATGAAAAAGTGAAAGGAAAATGGGTATAAAACGACTTTTAAGTTTGCTAATCCGAACAGACCATTCGAGCAAACATTTCACCGCTCGAGCGGTGAACGCAATCTCTCAAAAGTTTTGTAGGTGTACAGTGAAGATGCTGGAAGGCTCGCATCTCCGCTCGAGCGACCACTTAACCGCTCGAGAGGTCACCCTAGACATAGCTACCCACACAGCTCAGCTTCTAAGGCATTCTCAGCACATCAACATTATTTCTATATGTAACTATTTAAGTAAATACTTTCATTTAGCCTCTTACATAGTTTACAATGTAAATAAAGAAATACATCCCATTTGGATTCAAAGAAAAATGCAAAAAAAATCAAAATTCATTTAAATCAAAAAGTGATTCCCTCTGTTTTAGTATAAAAATAATTTCTCAGCTGAATTTTATAAGTTTGATGTTAAAGTAAGGGGTTAATATTTTGTAGAAAATTTCATAAAATCAATTTGGACTATTTAAAATATAAGGAATAATTACCGTTAAAAACTATTTTCTAAATCGCAAATTTTAAAAAATTCAATTTTCACACTTAGAAAAATTGCATGCCACGTCAAATTTTTGACAACAAATATTTTTAAGAAAATTGTTTGAGGGCCCGAAATCAACGACTTGAATTTGTGGCTCGAAACCCAAAACGACGTCGTTTTGGGTTTCATTTTTTTTTTTCTTTTTCTTCATTTTCTTTCTTTTTTTTCTTCTTCTTCCTTTTGAACACAGAGGCGAGAATGAGAGAGAAAGAGAGAGAGGGAACACAGAACACAGAACACAGAGAGAAAGAGGGGCTCGGCCGTCAATCACTGCCGCCATCGCCCCCGTCGATCGACGCCGCCATCGTCGCTGTCACCTCCGATCTCCCTACAACCAGTCCGGTCGAACCGTCCCCTCTCTTTTTTCTCCCCCTTCTCTGTTGGTAATGATGAACACAGAGAGAGAGGGGGGCTCGGCCGTTGATCACCACCGCCATCGTTCCCGTCGATCAACGCCACCATCGTCGTTGCCACCTCCGATCTCCCCACAACCAGTCCGGTCGAGCCGTCCCCTCTCTTTCTTCTCTCCCTTCTCTGTTGGTGATGATGTATACACACAAATCTATTGAAAAAAAATTTAGATTCTACATTTTTTTTTTTTTGGATTGTTGATTCTACATTTTTTCATTTGGTTGTTCATGATGTATTTTTTCATTTTTTTCAGATTGATGATGTATTGTTGATTCTACATTTGGTTGTTGTTGATGATGCTGTGTTGAGTCGGAAGAAGATAAGGGAATGAAGAAGGCAGGGAGAGGAAGAAGAATAGAAAAAAAAAATCAAAACGGCGTTGTTTTGAAACTCAGGGTAGTCGAGCCATTGGGAAAATCGGGCTCTGTAACGGGACTAGTATTTTTAATACAACCTCTATTATATGAAAGGGAATAAGGGTTGGGTTTCAACCTAAGTCGTTACAATTTGTATTTTGTTTATTTGTTTTTTTAATACTTGATTTTTTTAATTTTTTAATATACTCTAAAAATATGAAATTTGTGTGAAAATCTTTCAAAAATTCATGTTTAAAAATTCAATTTTCACACTTAGAAAAATTTCATGCCACGTCAAATTTTTGACAGCAAATATTTTTAAGAAAATTGTTTGAGGGCCCGAAATCGACGGCTCGAAACCCAAAACAACGTCGTTTTGGGTTTCTTTTTTTTTTTTTCTTTTTCTTCATTTTCTTTCTTTTTTTTCTTCTTCTTCCTTTTGAACACAAAGGCGAGAATGAGAGAGAGAGAGAGAGAAAGAGGGAACACAGAACACAGAGAGAGAGAGAGGGGCTCGGCCGTCAATCACTGCCGCCATCGTCCCCGTCGATCGACGCCGCCATCGTCGCTGTCACCTCCGATCTCACCACAACCAGTCCGGTCGAACCGTCCCTTCTCTTTCTTCTACCCCTTCTCTGTTGGTGATGATGAACACAGAGAGAGAGGGGGGCTCGGCCGTCGATCATCACTGCCATCGTCCCCGTCGATCGACGCCGCCATCGTCGCTGCCGCCTCCGATCTCCCCACAACCAGTCCCGTCGAGCCGTCCCCTCTCTTTCTTCTCTCCCTTCTCTGTTGGTGATGATGTATACACACAGATCTATTGAAAAAAAATTTAGATTCTACATTTTTTTTTTTTTTGGATTGTTGATTCTACAATTTTTTCATTTGGTTGTTCATGATGTATTTTTTCATTTTTTCAGATTGATGATGTATTGTTGATTCTACATTTGGTTTTTGTTGATGATGCTGTGTTGAGTCGGAAGAAGCTAAGGGAATAAAGAAGGCAGGGGGAGGAAGAATAATAGAAAAAAAAAATCAAAACGGCTTCGTTTTGAAATTCGGGGTAGTCGAGCCATTGGGGAAATCGGGCTCTGTAACGGGACTGGTATTTTTAATACAACCTCTATTATATGAAAGGGAATGAGGGTTGGGTTTCAACCTAAGTCGTTACAATTTGTATTTTGTTTATTTGTTTTTTTAATACTTGATTTTTTTAATTTTTTAATATACTCTAAAAATATGAAATTTGTGTGAAAATCTTTCAAAAATTCATGGGTACAAGAAAAATACAAACTCCAAACCAAACTGAGTGATTTTATTTTATTTTTGTTATTAACTTTTTATTTTTAAAACCTATTTCACAAAATATATCAAATAATATCTATATTCAACATAAAATTTTGAAGGAAAAAAATTAAAAAATGTCAAATTAAAAATAAAAATAAAAAAAAATTATCAATTTCATAATTTCTTAAAAAAATTATACAAAAATGAAATTTCCGCGTTTATATTTCACTTTGGACTATTTTCAAACCTTACCAACCCCACTCTTTTGCCTTGACAAGCCTTTGAACAATAAGAAAAGAACCCCCATGACATGGCCCACAAGTTACCCGCAAGTGATCATCCCAGCAGTCCAATATTCAAAATCAACGGTTCAGATTTGTTCTCCACCAACCCCCATATTGGCCGGCTGCCACCATCCTCATCAATAGCCCAACTCCCCTTATGCTTACCTACCAAAACCCACTCTCTATGTACACCCACCAACCCACCCCGTCTATATATTATATATACCACTTGATCTATCACCACAAAGCTCAGGAAATCCAAGCCCAACCTTGCATTTCCTTTCTCTCCCTCTCTACATTTTGTTCCATCAATCTATACACCTACCTGAGTTTTTGGAGACTGTCACTTTTTTACTTTTTCCAAAACACCTCTCTTGATAACTGTTTTTAACTGTTTCAATTCTCTTAGATAGATCCAACTGCTTCAAATAACATGGATAGTACCACCGCCATTGGAAACGGTGTCGGGAGTGGCGGTTCACCGGGTTTTTGTCTGAAAGACCCTTTGAATCGGGGAGTGGCGGCGGAGGCAATGAAGGGGAGTCATTTGGAGGAAGTGAAGGGCATGGTGGCGGAGTTTCGGAAGCCGGTGGTGAGGCTGGGAGGGGAGACTTTGACGATATCGCAGGTGGCGGCGATCGCGGTGAGGGGTAGTGAGGTGGCGGTGGAGCTGTCGGAGTCTGCGAGGGAGGGAGTGAAGGCCAGTAGTGATTGGGTTATGGAGAGTATGAATAAAGGGACAGATAGTTATGGTGTTACTACTGGTTTTGGTGCTACTTCGCATAGGAGGACCAAAGAAGGTGGTGCTCTTCAAAAGGAGCTTATCAGGTAACATATTACACCCTCTCTCTCTCTCTCTCCCTCTCTTACACGATAATAATTGAAAAACAGCAATACTAGATATCATGAAAAGTCTTTCATGAAAATGATCATGAAAGATTTGTGACCTTTGGATTATACTTAGAATAAAACACCACACACTAATCAAGATAATCTAAGAATCACAAATCTTTCATGATTATTTTCATAAAAAGTCTTTCATGATCCCTAACATTTCTCATTGGAAAAAGTAGTTTCAAGATAGGCAAATTAAATCAAATTTATAGTCTAGACTCAAATTTTGTGTTGTGGTGACTTAGATTCTGAATGAATGAATGTGATTCATTTTTTTACTCTAAATATTTTTCAACACAATATTAGTAGTGAATCCTTAATTTGAATGAGTAATACTATAAATTTAAAAAAATTTATTCAGAAATTATTTAGAAATATTATGTTTTGTTCAAATTCATTATGCATATGCACCTCATACCACACTTTCAATTTTTACCGCACACTCCATTTTTTATCCAAATCTGGGACAAGAAGTATGGTGCCGGACTTACTGAATCTGAATTGCAAAATATGCATAGAAGCTAAAGTAAACGTTACACAAACAAAATTTGTGTACTCGTTTTCTTGTGGGTCCTTTGGTTTCAAGCCAATACAATATTTATAAACTTTAAAAGGTTAAATAAAACTCATTCTACTTTATATTTGGAAAAAAAAAAAAAAAAAAAAAAAAAAAAAAAGTAATCATACATTTTTTTGTATAATTACATTGGTTTTTTTTTAGTACAGTTAAATTGACCGAAGCTGATGCATATTGGTAAATATTGAAATAAATAAAAATACATATATAATTTAGTAAAAAAATATGACGGTATCATTTTTTTATTCGTATGACTAACGAATTACTGATAAAAAAAATTAATTATTATGTGAACTAAAATCTTAAGAAAGAATAGTGTAATTTCTCAAAATTGTAGGATTACTTGTATTTTTAACAAACTTTAAAAGAGGTGAGTGCAATTTACTCATTTTAAAAATATTAGGAAAAATGTCAAAAATCCGCCACGTGGCTTGATTGAGGTCGGTGGGACTAAGCAGTCAAAAATTAAAATGATCTATAGACAGAGAGAGTAAAAAGACAAAACTCTATAAATAGGATAAGGGGGGAAATTACACACTAATGATGTGTTAAAAAAATATTTAAAAAAATGATAAATTTTATAAATATTAATAATTATAATTATAATTTTTTTTACTATTTTAAAATAATTTTTCAAAACACATCTTGAATAGTCATAGAGCTGTTGCTTCAGATAATGCTTTGGACTATTAGAAAACGAAAATGGAAAAATTGCGAATTAATTCTAACTAAGAAAAAAAATTATATGAAAAAATTTATAATTTTAATTATTAAATTGAGCGAAATAACTATAACTTTTATCCTCTATTTTAATCACTTTTCCTACCTCATTATGTATCAACTCTTAATTAAAAAATAATTATTTTGAAATATTGGGTTATTTTGAAAAGATAGTTAAAAGTTATTTTTTAATTTTTAACGCATTTTGGGTCACATCATCTTCTAATTTTTTTATACGCTTTTTAAAAAAAAAAGTTTTAAAAAAAAATTAAAAAACTAACTTTTAACCATCTCGCAAAACAACCCAATTATTTAGAAAGTGTTTGAAAATGATATCAAGGATCCGACCCGGAAAGGGACCCTGAACCATTATCCTGAAGGAGCTGGTGGGTCAGACTGAGTATTCCGATCTCCAAGTTGAACCACTTATTAATTGGAAAAATATGAAATAAAGTGTAGTGGTGGAAATCTATATGACAACAAAATCGATACTCCTCCCTTTACCAAACTTAATGGAATATGATGGTCCCCAATTGTCACTGGCTACATGTTGTGACAGACTTGTGAAAATATATAAAATATATTTTATTTTTCTTCTAAAAATGTTAGGTTTGAAAAATTGAAAGGTTTTTTACTACATATTTATATGGTGTAGTTTGTAATAAGTTGAAAGTTGATAATTAAACAATAAAAATTAAAAGAATCTACCTTCTTTTATTTGCAAACAATTAATTTTTTAAAAATTATTTAAGTTTTTTAATTTAGAAGATATGAGGAGAAATTATATCAAATAGTCTGACACAAATTTTTAAATGCAAAAAAAAAAAATAAATAAATAAAATAAAATTATAAGTGGTGCCAAATAGCCCCTACTTACCCTAGCAACTTTCCATGTTTAACTAATCCATTTTCCCAAGGGTCAAGCTTTTTTGGGTGTTTATTGGTTTACTGATCCAAACGAGAATCTTATTGACCCAAATGAGAATCTTATTAAATAGGGAAATTTCACCTTAGTAGATGCTTGAGATTAAATTGGTGATAAATTGTATAAATATTAAAAAGTAATTATTAATTTTTTCATGATTCTGTAATTAATTTTTGAAAACTTCTCTAACACATAATTTCTCCTAATAATTATAATGAGATAAAAAAAAATTAAGGAAAATTTGTATTTAAGTGAAAATAATTATTTTGATGGACGTGTAAATCAAACTAGGCGAGAACTGTGTCTTATATCATAACTTTCATTTGTACCAAATACAAACTCATTTGGACCTTATTAAAATAAAATACAACTATTTTGAGTTTTTGTTTTTAATTATTTAAATGTATTTTAAAAAAATAAAAGGATAATAAAAAATCAGTGATAATGTATTAAATAATGAGTAATGCTAGAGAATGTCCCGTTTGGGTTTACAACCGTCATATTAAATTTTATGCAAAGTTTTTTAACTAAATAAGATTGTGGTTAGGTCAAGGTAGTTGGTAGCACGTGATAGAAAAATATTTGAGAGTTCTAAATTATGAGTTCTAAAGAAGCTCTAGGAGGTATTGATGTGATGTTTTGACCTTAGGTTTTTTTTTTGAATTTCCACTCAATTAGTGCTCCTAAATTAGAGGGATAAATCATTGTTGAAATAAATAAAGGGAGAAATAAAAAAAATAAAGAGTAAAAAAGTAATTATAAAATGGCGAATGTATAAGTGATATATACATTTAATTATATAAATAAATCTTGTACTTTCATTAATTAAATTTTATTTTTTCACTTTCCACTCTTTTGAAATTCTCCAATAAATAAATGGGGTACAAAATTGTTCTGTAATCAAATAAAAAATAAAAAAATTATTTTATGGTGTATATATAAATTCGGTTATGTGTAAGTAAGCTTACAAAGAATCTGATTTACCCATTTAAATTTTCTGCACATTTCTTAGTATATATGTTTTTATAATACACATATCATTGTGCAATAGAGTAACACATGCTCACAACTCTTATATTTTCTGTAATTTTCTCTTATGCTAGGTTCTTGAATGCTGGAATATTTGGCAATGGAACAGAGTCATGTCACACATTGCCACAATCAGCCACAAGGGCAGCTATGCTTGTAAGGATCAACACCCTCCTCCAAGGATACTCCGGCATTAGGTTCGAAATTTTGGAAGCCATTTCCAAATTCCTCAACAACAACATCACTCCATGCCTGCCGTTACGCGGCACTATCACCGCCTCCGGTGACCTAGTCCCCCTATCTTACATTGCCGGGCTTTTGACAGGCCGGCACAATTCAAAGGCGGTCGGGCCTACTGGAGAAATCCTCCACCCCAAGGAAGCCTTCCGCCTAGCTGGAGTTGAGGGCGGGTTTTTTGAGTTGCAACCCAAGGAAGGCCTTGCGCTTGTCAACGGCACAGCTGTTGGTTCCGGCTTGGCTTCTATGGTTCTTTTCGAGGCTAACATACTCGCCGTGTTATCAGAAGTTTTGTCAGCGATTTTCGCTGAAGTTATGCAAGGCAAGCCCGAGTTCACCGACCATTTGACACACAAATTGAAGCACCACCCTGGCCAAATTGAAGCTGCTGCCATTATGGAACACATTTTGGATGGTAGCTCTTATGTCAAGGCAGCCCAAAAACTACATGAAATGGATCCATTGCAAAAACCAAAACAGGACAGATATGCCCTTAGAACATCTCCTCAATGGCTAGGACCACTAATTGAAGTCATCCGATCATCGACAAAATCAATTGAGAGGGAGATAAACTCGGTGAATGACAACCCTTTGATCGATGTTTCAAGGAACAAGGCCTTACATGGTGGAAATTTCCAAGGTACCCCAATCGGAGTCTCCATGGACAATACACGTCTAGCTGTTGCCTCAATAGGGAAGCTCATGTTTGCCCAATTCTCTGAGCTTGTTAATGACTTCTACAACAATGGGTTACCATCAAATCTTTCCGGGGGACGAAATCCAAGTTTGGATTATGGTTTCAAGGGAGCTGAGATTGCCATGGCTGCTTATTGCTCAGAACTCCAATTCCTTGCCAATCCTGTAACCAACCATGTCCAAAGCGCCGAGCAACATAACCAAGATGTGAACTCTTTAGGCCTAATCTCTTCAAGAAAGACAGCCGAGGCAGTTGATATCTTGAAGCTCATGTCCTCTACATATCTAGTAGCACTCTGCCAAGCCGTAGATTTGAGGCATTTTGAGGAGAATTTGAGGAACACTGTCAAGAGCACGGTGAGCCAAGTAGCGAAGCGCGTTCTAACCATGGGCGTTAACGGAGAGCTTCACCCTTCAAGGTTTTGTGAAAAGGACTTGCTCAGAGTGGTAGACCGTGAATACATCTTTGCCTACATTGATGACCCTTGCAGTGCAACCTACCCATTGATGCAAAAACTAAGGCAAGTACTTGTTGAGCATGCGTTGAAAAATGGTGAAAGTGAGAAGAATTTGAGCACTTCAATCTTCCAAAAGATTAGGGCTTTTGAGGAGGAAATAAAGACCCTTTTGCCTAAAGAGGTAGAGAGTACAAGAGCAGCAATTGAGAACGGGAATTCCCTTAGGTTTTTTTTTTGAATTTTCACTTCATTAGTATTCAATTAGTGCAGGTTTGTGAGGGAAGAATTGGGAACTGAATTGTTGACCGGAGAGAAGGTCCGGTCACCGGGAGAGGAGTTTGACAAGGTGTTCACCGCTCTGTGCAAGGGAGAGATGATTGATCCATTGATGGATTGTCTCAAGGAGTGGAATGGTGCTCCTCTTCCTATCTGTTAGTGCAATTCTTATCGCATTGGAACAATGTTTTTCAGTCCTTGTCTTAAGTTTTTCTTTCTTGATCTTCTTGTTCAATTGGATTGTGTTTATTGTGATGTAAAAAAAATTATCAGATGCCAATAATTTTAATATGTTAAACCAGTTATTTGAGTGCAAGCAGCAATGAAATGCCAAAGGTGTTGGTGACTAGCTAGATTAGGCATGCTACTTTTAAAGATCAGGTCAACTTCTTGTTGAATGCATAATTCTTCAAACGTCTTTTGGTGAATGTTTTGTTTTCAAATTTTCAAAAATTGCTTTCACACTGGTGTTTTTGATTTTTTTTTTTTTTGTTAATTTTTGGTTTCAATAACAGACAAAAATAATAATAATAAATAATATAATGAAAATGAAAACAAAACCAAAGAGAACTTTTTCCACTTTCTTTTTCTCGTGAAAAATGTTATACATAAATGGATTTCTTCTATAAGTCTCTTACCAATTAGTATAAAAATATGATTGCATGTGTATTTATGATCTGTTGTGGCTTTGTAAATTTTTAAATCGATACTAACTGAAATATTATATTTAAATATTTTTTACATTCTAATTCTTTGAGTATTAGAATATAAATGGCCAATGTTACACGTTTTGTAATAAAAATTAGGAAATGAGACATTTATAAAAACAACTTTCACTTTCTGTATTAAGTTATTTTTGAAGTGAAAACTTTTATATTGTGTTTGGTTGGGGGATTTGGGGAGGGATTTAGAAAGGGAAAGGGAAAGGTGTGTGAAACTATGTGAAATATAAGTATGTTTTATTCACATTTCATCTACCTTTTTCATTTCCTTTTCCAAATCCCTCCTCAAATTCTGCAACCAAACACAGCATTAATAAAACCTATGAAAATTCATGATTTACATTAAATTAAAAAAATAAATAAAACTAAATTGTAACATACGAACAATTTTAAAGCATCTCCCAATAGCAATATTTGATATCTTTGAACATTATAAGCAAGTAGTCATTTATCTTGGTGGCGCATTTGGTATCATCCTCTTCATGTCAATTTGACATATGGAGCAAGGAATATCAATTTTATTTTTATTTTTTATTATGTAAAATTCTCATTAAGTGAGATTTGTCTAAAAATTTGAAACACAAGCTGAAGTAAAAAAATATAATAATGTGATAAATTTGAAATATTGGTTGTCTTTTTTTAAAAAAAAATTTGGGTCTATAGAAAGATGGGAAATAGAGGAAAAGAAGTTACATTCGCATCAATAAAACTCAAACCCAGACTTAAACCTTGTAAGAAAGTGTCTCAATTACTAAACTAACCTCTTGACCTCATATATGTCAAATTTAAAGATGTCAAATTGTAGCATACGAACATCACCAACACCCGAACCAGTAAACAACACTGTAAATAAATAGAAATAAATAAAAACAAACTTAAAGTATTACAAAGCAAAAGCAAGAAATTAAAAAGTCAATGCATATGTTGAACACACTTTCCTTTAGATCGTTACGCTCTTGCTACAATACTTAAGAACTGTTGATGCCGATCTCCCAAGATGCGACGACTATACCCAGCAATGCAACATTACGAAATTGGGTTTGGCAAACAAATTGAGTTGAACTCTCTCGAAAAAAAACAGAGCAAGAATAATGCAGAACAATGTAAAGAAGGAATGCAAAAAACGAATGCCAAGAATTGTTGGAGGGTTCTGAATTTATAGGATTCATGATTGTTGGTCAATCTTCACCGTATTTAAAAAGATTTAATTCTGTTGTGTACAAAACAACAACAAGAATAAAAGAAATAGAGAAAAGGAGAGAATATGTTTGATTACAAAAATCAAACTCGAAATAAAAATAAATAAATAAATAACAGATTTTATTTTGTTACAAAAACAAAATTAAAATCAAGTAAATAAACATAACAATATCTTGTGCAATCATCGATAAATGTTATGAAATACTTTTTGCCACCTCTAGTTTGAATAAACTTTAAATCACATACATCAGTGTGAATTAATTCTAGAGGTTCGGTTTTTCTTTCAACCGATTTAAA